ACTCCATCAATATGCTTTGATTAACTTAATAGTGGGCTGGAGATAATTATTTGATTTTCTACTTGCAATTGAGTTCATGTCTTGAATTATGAGTTTGGACTATAAATAATGGGCTAAAGGAGAAAAAATTTCATTTTGAACAATAGTATGACTTTTTTTGACACAACATTTATATAATAGGGATTATTTGACAAACCCCCCTCATATCCATTGTACAATTAAGATGGGTCCATGTTTTTTTTCTCTCTTTAAGAAAAAACCACGATCTTTTATCTTTCTCTGACTTTTCTTTTCACCGCCCAACTTTTCTCTCTTTTATTTTCTCTTCTCCATCACGTTCGCCTCTGCCGCTGCAATTTTTCAGATCGATTTGGCCGTAGAAAACGACATCCACAACTCATAGATCGCTCTCATATCTCTTTCGTCAAATCAAATCTGTCGCGAGGGGCTTCAATCCGAGCAATTTCAGCCTTCTTTCAACGAAGGTAACAATCATTAGATTATTTAATCAACGTTTACACAACTTGATAAGAAGGTAACAATTATTATATTTTTTGGTTAATTATTATCAATTTTTTCTTCTGTTTTGTTTTATGTATTTGGTTCAATTAAGCTGAAGGGCTTTTGGATCTGGATTTGTTTTTTTTTTATTTTTGAAAAAGGATATTTTGAATTTGGTTAATGTTTTATTGTTTAAATAATGTAGACAACTATTCATTCATTATTTTTTTATTGTTTTTACGATCTTAATTTACTTTAGAAAACATAAATTGATATATAATGAATAATGTCATCGGAAAAACAACATAGTAATATAAAAACAACTTTAATTGGCAATTTGTGGATAAATCATGGACTTTATTGTTCATTTTTTAGTGGACTTTTGTTTTTATTATTGTTCTTCTAAACATTAAACCAAAACATAAATCTTATATGTCTGTGTTATTGTTCTTCTGTTGCATTGTATAGTGTACTTCGTTAATTTCATAGTCGATTTCAATAAATTTATAGTGGATTTCGATAAGTGTATATAAAGTGGTTTTCGATGAATTTGTAGTAAATTTTGATAAGTATATAAAGTGGTTTTCATGTTTATATAGCTATTTATACAGATTGGTTTTCATGTTTATATAATTGTTTATGCATAGTGGATTTTGATAAGTATATACAAATTGGTTTTCGATGAATTTGTAGTGAATTTTGATAAGTATATAAAGTGGTTTTCATGTTTATATAGCTATGTATACAGAGTGGCTTTCATGTTTATATCGTGGTTTATGCATATTGGATTTCGATAAGTATATACAAAGTGGTTTTCGATGAATTTGTAGTGAATTTTGATAAGTATATAAAGTGGTTTTCATGTTTATATAGCTATTTATACAGAGTGGTTTTCATGTTTATATAGTTGTTTATGCATAGTGGTTTTCATTGTTGTTCGCTCAATTATTTTTCGTTTCAACAAATTGATGCAATATTAGTAGGTTGAAAAAAAATTGTTTATGAAAGTTTCCATAATTACCAAGATGGTGTGACACCAAGGTTTTATTTGGAAATTGGTTTTCATTTGCTAATTAACTTTTTTTTCTTATTCATATTGATTTAGTGACCCTCGTCGGCTTTGTTGGTGGTGTACTGGTCTTGCACTTCTTCCTGGACATAGTAGTGGTTTACGTTTCAAATAGTGGATTTTCGAATAGTGAATTTACGTTTTTTTTGTTTTTTAGTTTTGTGTTGTATTAGTAGTGAATTAAGTATGTTTTTAGTGAATTTCAATAAGTTTGTTGTGGATTATGTTAATATTAAAGTCAATTACGTTGATTTTACAGTGAAGTTTACAATAATTTTGACAGTATTTTTCGATAAATTTGGATTAGTTTTGGATGAAATAATGGATTTTAATTTTCGTAACTTGGTGGAAAAAATAAAAAAAATATATAAAAGAAAAAAAATAAAAAAAATTAGACGTTAAAATTCATATTTTTTAAACCCGGTGTAAAAAATAAAAAATAAAATAACAATATTGAAATTAAATAAAAACAATATTTTGTTTTAACATTGTAATAAAAAAACAAAAAAAAAGAATAAAAAAACTTTTTTTTAAGTAGAATAATAAAAAAACTAAATCATATATAATAGTATGATAGGATTTGTTGTGGATTTCAATGAATATGAGGAGTTATTTTGGAGAGAGAGTATGCTAGGGGCATTTCAGATAATTTAAGTTAAATGGACTTATGTCAAATATCAATTATTAAAAATGGATTTATTATAAAGTTAAAATTGAATAAAGGTGTTTGTCAAATAGCCCCTATATAATAAGACTCGTTATTTTTATAAGGGGAAAGTACAGTTTGCACCCCTGAACTATATGGCTTGTCTCAAACACCCCCTTGAACTACAAAACGTAACGAAATAGCCCATGATATTTTGGGTCAACGTTGAAAACAATAACACCGTTAAGTTTTGAGTCATTTACGATTTTTTGTTCAGCAAATTAAGTCATTTACCTTTGTGCCCCTCAAAACCCCTCTGAGGAAAACCATCTTTCACTCCATCACACAATCTTAACTTCAGAACTTCTTCTCCCTCTCTCCAAAAAAACAAATCTTTATAATCTAGTCTGTAAAAATCAGAAGAGCAAAACCACGTACAGTTCATGGGTTCGCAAAATTCAAGGATTTGGGACAAACCTCAATTAATTGGCCAAAAGAACAGAAATTATCCCTCAATTAATTGTGCAAGCAAGGATTTGAGGCTGTTGATGTCTCGTTCTCCATCCATATGTCCGATTACACACCATTGTCGGCCCCTGCCGTAGCAGCCAGTGGCGTATCCACTGTGGTCCTAGGGTGTGCAACTGCACACCCTTGATTTTGAAAAAAAAATATTCCCTATATATTTATATATTATATAACTGTAAATGTAAAAATTGCTGAAGAGATCTTGTAGCTGAACTGGTAGGGATCTCCCTTCAAATACAGAGAGGTGCAGAGTTCGAGACTCAGATTGAACCCTTTTATTTGGAATATTTCAAAGTTTTTTTGTATTTCTAATACATATAATATTTCAAAAAATCAAAATCTCCTAATAAAACATATATTTTGCTATTTTCAACTTTAATTTCCATTCCTTTAATATTTTATATAATCTACATTATTCCAAAATTCTTATAATATTTTATATAATCTAAATTATTCCAAAATTCTTAATTTTATATATATATGCTTGTTTTTTTTTAATTTCTAATACATATAATATTTCAATTGTTTTCAAATTTTTTGAATATGTGGGTATTTTTGAATATTTCAAAAAATCAAAATCTCCAATAATATTTCAATTGTTTTCCAAAATTTTTGAATATGTGGGTATTTTTGAATATTTCAAAAAAATCAAAATCTCCTAATAAAACATATATTTTGCTATTTGCAACTTTAATTTATTTACCATTCCTTTAATATTTTATATAATCTAAATTATTCCAAAATTCTTAATTATATATATATACATATATGCATTATTACAATTATTTTCTAAATTTACAACTATATTTTTTTTTTAAATTCAAAATCTGCTAATGAAATACACATTTTGTCACTTGCAACTTTAATATGCTTACCACTCCTTAAATATTTTCACCAATTTTATGTCTAAATATTTCCTAAATCAGCCCAAAATTTGTAAAATAATCCCTTTAAATTTGAAAATATTACATATTTTTATTATTTAATGTGCATAGTATTAAAAAAAAAATCGGGGGCGCTGCCCCCGAACCCCCGTAAACTTTTACCTTTTTTACTATATTTAATTCCGAACACCCTTGGCAAAAATCCTGGATTCGCCACTGGTAGCAGCCAAAACTCCGTCACACGCGCCGACTGTTCAATCACATCTTCAACTGCCAAATCGACTACACACTCGTCGAGCATGGAACCACTGTCTTCACCCAATGAAGTTCCTACACCAGTCCTCTCTCTCTCTCTCTCCTCATTCACCATTATCTAAGATTAATTGTGAATCTTCTCTTTCTTTCTGCAAAATCTCTTTCTAAATGTTCCTACTTCGACTTTGAGATGCATCTGTTCAATTGTAGTGCTAGCGAAATTAGCCCAATAATTTTCAGAAGTTTTTGTTTTTGATTTTTTTTTTTAATTTGGGCGAAAATTAGAATTCAATCGATTTTTCATTGTTAATGGTTTTATTTAGTTTTTAAAGTTAAAATGGAAATCAAACAGGTATATATAGGTATAGATATATTATATACACATGCATACAAGCACATCATACCAAGGGGTAAAATAGTCAAAAGAAATTCAACAACAATAAAAGTTATTAAAAAAGTAAAAGTCAACAGGCCCATCAGCATATACAAACGGATTTGAAACGGAAGGGTTGATTTGTTACATTTTGTGGTTTAGGGGGTGTTTGTGACATGACCCATAGTTCAGGGGTGCAAATTGTACTTTCCCCTTTTTAAAATATTGATGTTAATAATAATTAGTGATTACATTAAATTCGAACAATTTTGACTAAATTTTGCATTTTTATAGACGTCAAATATAATAGAGTAGATTGATTGTTGACTGGTGTTGACTTCTTGTTATATCATAAAATCCAAAGAAAGAAAAAACATAAAGAAAATAAATAACCAATTAAATTTAATATTTAATGCAATATATTTATTTAATAAAATGGTTAGGGTGGGGTCAGAAAGATCTCCATAGGAATCATCGTCAAAAAGCGGCAAAATGAATATACAAAGAGTAAATAATAAAATAATAAAAATAAACAAATGCTTCACTTTAGGACACGTGTCCAAACACTATAAATATAGAAAGCAACAGCACATTCACACTCGCAGTTTTTCGTTTGCCCCCCAGAAAACGTTTTCTAGGTGAAATAAATACAGAAATCCACCAAACAAATCTCATTTCAATAGCTGTAATTGTAAATTCAATTTTTTTGCATCATTTGTTTTCCTTTTGAGTCAAAAAGCATCGATGGATTTTCCAATGGAAACTCAGTCGCCGCCGCAGCCTGAACCCTCCGCCGTCGTGATGGAGGTGGAAGAGCTGCCGGAAAATGAAGTGGATGGTGAAATGGAGGTTTTGACGGCGAGAGTGAAGTCGTTAATGGATAAAATCACAGAAAATACTGATAACCCTAACCCCATTTTAATCAACGCTATCTCCACTATCCTTGAATCTCTCGAATCAAGGTATCAACTTGTGTTGCTCTCTACATGCAACAAAATCCACATAATTTAATTCATTTTTTTCTATTTTTTTCTAATATCTACACAAAATCCAGATAATTCAGTTAATTTTTAATTTTTTTTCATTTTTGATTTTTGTGTTGATTTTGTTTTAATTTTATTTTTTTGATTTTTTTGTTATTTTTTTTTTAAAATATCTACACAAAAACCAAATTATTCAGTTAATTTCTTATTTTTTAAATTTTTTTGTTAATTTTTTTAAATATCTTGTAGATCGTATCTATTAGTTTATTTAACTATATGTGTGTTTATGTAAATGGTAGAAGTGAGATCTTGGTGAACATTCTTATCAAAAAAAAAAAAGAGATCTTAATTAAGATAGAAAACATAAACCGAAAAAACCGAAAAAACGGAACTCCAAGTCCAATTAAGTATAGATCTTAATTAACGAACTACGGAAAAGAAACATAATTTACCGACCGCAGCTTTCCCGCGTTCTCTTAGCTCGTTTTTTCGACATTTGTGGAGTTTTCTCTTGTGCACGTGTCTCGTTCTTGTAGGTACATATATAGGAACACGTGGCGTTTTCGAAAGAGAGTTTGTACTTTTCGATTATTTATTTCCATTTAAAGGGGATTTATGATGATAAATGATTTTTGTGGGGTCGAGAAAATAGTCGGTCGACGTCATATTTATGTTTGTTTCAAGTTATGTGCCTTTTTTAATTCACTTTTCAACGTAAATACCAACATAAAAACAAAAATCAAAAATAAAAAATAAAGGAAATAAAGAGTGAATAAACGACACATATATACTTTGTTGTCTATAGGAGTACAAATGAAAAACCTTCATCTTCGGTGTTTACGTGTCTTTTCTTGCGTAATTGTTCGCATGACGATCTAAGAGAAAAAAACTCTTTTTTTTTTAAATTTTTGTTTTATTATTATTATAGTAACTAGTTTTCATCTTGTTTATTTTTGGATATTTTAGATACACGAACGATCAAGGTCAATCCTCAACATTTACTAGCATTCTCGGTAACGCTGGACGTATTATGGAACTTATTAAGGTACATGTGTTTTTTCCTTTGCTAAACATGCCAACCTTTTTTTTTAATAGAAAATTTGTTACTAATTAAATCGGGTTTTACGTTCTTTCCTCTTCATGCAGGAGAACGATGCATTTTTCCAGTTGATATCGTCAAAAATTCTAACCGATAGAAGATATTCTGTTTCGGCAAAGGCAGCCACCGCAAGGCTCGTTTTCAGCTGTTTGCCGAGTTGGTTGGTAAGTGTACCATATTTTGAATGCAATCAATTATATTGTTCTTTTTTCTTCTTTCATTACAACATATATTTATAACTTTTAACACATTGGATACAGTATCAGCTTGAAGACGACGTTCTAGATATAATCGGAGGTTGGGTGATGGATGAGACGACACCCGATACGTTGGAATTAGAAACGTTGCGAACATATTCAATCGGGGCTCTTTCAAGAGTTTTTACTCTATGCTTGGTTTGGTACGGTCTTAATCCATTTTTATTTATTATTATTTAATTGTCCGTTACGTTTTTATGATTATGTGTTTGCTGCTCTCTTGTTTGTTATAACATTCTCTCTTGAACTTCAGCGACAGCGAACCAGCGGAACGTTTCTTAACGTCTGGACTGCCAGCTAAGTTAATGCAAATACTACGCATTGAGGTTTTGTGCGCGGCAAGTAGCACAAGTGAAAAGAAGGCTAGTTTATCGAAAGTCGGAAATAAGGACATCACCGATTTGGTAAAGGAATCCGCCAGAGCTGCCGAAGCTGAAGCGAGAGCTTCCAAGTCATCCGAAGCAGACATAAGTGCTGCTGGTGTTGCTGCTGCTGAAGTTGTTAAGAGCGCTGCTTTCGAGGCGAGTTTATATTATTATCGATTTATTGTTTTGAAAAAAATATTCACTTTTGAAATCGATAGTTTATACGAATGACTCTTTTTCCCCTAATTTTGTAGGAGTATCGAAAGACGAATGACGAAAACGTTGCAGCGTATGCTGCTTATAAGGTTGCATCGGCGCTTATAGATGATTTTAATGCTGTTGCTCTCTCGAGGTTTGATACTAAAGATATTAATATTAAATGATACATTTCACTAACATGTTAAAACTCTTGATCATTTATTACGTTAATCTAGATTCTCACGTGAAGTTTTGCATTTCTAGGTATTTAAATTATTTTGAAGGTGATTGGGATCATTCAAACCCTGAAATTGACGAAGATGTCGGCAATTTTTTCTTCGTGGACGCCGATTCGCTTTCGAAGCTTAGGGAGAAATTCTGTATCCAGTCGCTTGTGTGTCTTTTGATTCTGTGGAAGGATGTCGACTTTCTAGACTCTCTCCTTCACGAGAAGGCGGTCGACGTGTGCCTGGCTCTAGTGCAGAAATGTGTCGGGACAGACGATGGATCGAATGATTATAAGCTCTTTTGGCATGATATTTTGAAGCTCGTCTGCGAATTGACCGAACACGAGAAGTTCATGGTGTTGTTTTTGGATAACGGTGGCCTCCAGAAATTGCTGGCTGGTCCGAGAATTCCTCGATCGTTTCATCGTTTGTCTTCCTTTTTATGCACCGTTACTCGGGTTCAGGTAACTATGTTTTTTTTCAGTTGTGTCATCGATTTTACAAGTGCAATTCATGCGTATAGGTTGATTTGATTATGTTATTTATTGGCAGTTTTTTCTAGGAATGGAATTGGAATATATATTAGATTCCGGTTTTCGATTCGATTTTAGTTTCCGATGATCTGAAAATTCCAAGTTTTTTTCGGAAGTTACACTTGTAATAATGTTATTATGTATTTTATAATATAAATTACAAATGGAAATTTCAAATCCCGATAAGAATTGTTTTGATTCTCGAACAAGTTTTTTTTTTTCCAATTTCGGAAATTCCGCTTTTTGGTTATTATGATTTTTTTTGGAATAAATTCAAATTATTTTTTCACTTTCTAAATTAATTTTTTTTTTTACTTTTCGATTAGATCCGTCCAATTTCCACCCCTAGTATTTTTTGTTATACTATTTGTTGTCTCACACCATAACATATTTCACAGAGTACGATGAGATGTCTCTGCGATCTCCCTTCAAGCGTTATCCGGCAGGTTGTTGAGTTGGTTTTTGAAATTCTCGAGTCTGAACACGAATACTACATAGCAAGGGCAGATGTTTCTTCATTTCTAACGTCCGCTTTCAGCTATAGAGCGGTACTCGACGCGTTCGACGCGCACGACGGTCTGGAGAAATTGGTTAATTATTTGCATTATTCCGCTTCAGTAACATCCGGCGCTTCGACACCACTCACCTATCGACAGACACAGACTGCTCACGAGACTTGTGCCGCACTCCACCAATATATCAGAACACATCTGCTTCTGTTTGTGGATTCTATTCTAAGCGTCTCGAGTGGGGAACCGTATAAGCCAATTAACGCAAGCAACGAGGCGTTTGACTCTCTGTTTCGTCAAATACGGAACGATGAAAAATTGGGTGCCACATTTATCTACTGCCGTTGGCCCTCTGCCTACAGATTCATAAGATCAAATGGTCATATCACTTTGCTTGAGTTGTGCCAGGTTTGATTCAATATTGTCGAAATTTCGATTTCTGCATATATCACATGTTTCCCTAATATATATTTATTTGCTTTGTAGGCCTCGCAATTAACACGTACTTTACAAGGTTCTCTTCAATATATCATCGAAATATTGCGTATACTGACTTTGATTCGGTGTATTCGAAGTGATATCATAGATGCAACGTTAAGCAATGGCCGAGCTGCTATAGCTGTAGTTTTGGATGTAATAAATACACCAGCTAATTTTGGACCGGAGGTATTTTCCGCAAACTTGATTTCATTTTATATTTATATATATATTATATATATTTTTTCAATTTCCCTTCTCGTGAAAATGTCAGATTGTGGATCCAGCATTGCATATGTTGGTAAATCTGGTTTGCCCTCCTCCATTCATCCCGGAAGACGATTTTAAAGATCGGGCAATAGCCGATATGGAAAAAGGTTGTTGTCTAGCAAGAGAATCTATCCGTGAAAATAACGGAATAAAGATTCTCCTTCGTCTTCTCGAAAGTCGGATATTCACATCCCAAGCCGATCTTGTGCGTCGCCGTGTTCTCACATGCCGAGTCCTTCTCGGTTTAGCCAAAGACAATTCCATTGCGCGTACATTATCGAAGCTTGAGGTCGTTATCCGCTTGAAATAATTTATTCATTTCCGCAATTACTTTACTTACAATTAATTATTAATTCGTACACAGTTTCCGTTTTGAATATTCTCATTCAGTTGGCGAGAAAGTTATTAGAAATCAATCGGGATTTGGGAGGAAAGAGCTCCGGCGTTGATGAGCATAATAAATGGCATGCAGAGCTTGACCAACTGACGATTGAGCTAATTGCGGTAAGTAGAATTATTCACAACAAAATTAATTATACTGCGCGTAATAATTGTTTAAATTATTGCGATTTGGTGAGGTACGTGTATTTGTTCGATGTTTATTAATTTTATAAAAAAATATTGTTTGAAGGTCACAACGAATTCGGGGTGCGCAAGCACTGTAGCTGCCGATGCTTTTACCCCACCTTTGAGGCGTATTGAAAAAGCTGCCATTGTCGAAGCAACTCCGATTACTTATAATCCAAGGCAACTAAAATTCTAGTTTATTCATGCATATATACCAACCCTCGTTGGGAAAGTTCGTACTTTCCCCATTTGTAACGGGATTTGAATTTTTTTTAATTTTTAAAGTTTACTCATGCATGTGTTGTGATCTTTTTATAATGTGTGTTTAATTGTCGGGAATTCGTCCGTTCGAAATTTCAGGGAACTTCTTGTACTTATCCACGGGCACCTTGAAGCATCGGGTTTACCGGAAAGTGCAGCTATAGTTAGCAAAGAGGCTAAATTGACAGATTTCCAATCTTCCAAAGAACAAATTCAATTGCCGTGTGGGCGTACTCCTTCCGGATTCTTCCCCGATAAATCCGAAGGCTCTTCATCTTCAAATCAGAAACATCCCGTCTCGAGAAAAAATGAACCGTCGACACTTCCAAAGATTATAATTAAATTGAAGGATACTCCAAGAAAATCGAAATCTTTAGAATCGGAAGAAGCGCCACCACTAATAATCCGCACTCCGGAATCCGACGGTGAATCGGACATCGAAATATTGCGGCCAAAAAAGCGCAAGTTGACGCACTCGAACGAGATTGGCTCTGAAAGGCGGCTCACGTTAGATTCTGTGATGGTCGAGTATTTGAAGCTGCAGCATTCCAAATGCTCGGCTCCAATTACGACTTTACCCCCGCTCTCGCTGCTTCACCCCCATGCATGCCCCGAACCGAGACAAACCCTAGACGCGCCGACGAACATGACAGCAAGGCTTAGGAGATGCGAAGTGGTTGGAACTGCTTACGGGGGTATAGACGTAAGTCGCAAGGACCGTCGATTTGTCTACAGTAGATTCAGACATAGGGAAACTCTATACGACAAAGTCGACAAGTCGTGTTTGACCAGCATCGCTTTTATAGAAGATCCTACTAGGGTTGCCGCATGCGGGTTTTCCAGGAGGCTAAAATTTTTCGACTTAAGCAGCGCCACGGTGTGCGAGAGCTCCGTCTGCCATACTTCCGACGTGACGCATTTGCATTCTCACTCGCGACTTCTTCTCTCGTCAACTTCCAATGAAGTTTGCTTGTGGGATGGATCTTCGTTTGCGGCACATACATTTGAAGGAGTTAAGGCCGCACGGTTCGACAGTCACGGTACCTTATTCGCGGCGTTGCCGTCGGATTCTTCTTCGCATGAGATTCTTTTGTTCGATGTTCAGACGTTGAATTTGAATACGAGCCTTGTCGATGACACGGATAGTAGCGTAATTCGTCACGAAAATCCGTATTGCGAGATTCACTTCGGCCCGTTGAGGAATATGCTTCTTTGGGAAGGAGTTTTGTGGGATTCTAGAAGTACGAGGCCGATTCACCGCTTTCAAGAATTTACCGACCTCGGTGGCGGGGGCTTTCATCCTGCTGGGAATGAGGTACGTACGTAGAGTAGAGGTTAATAGTTTCCCTTTTACATATTTACTTCAAAAAACGGGAGTTTAATTTATTGCATTTAGTCTCCAATCCTATCATGCTTCCCATTTTTTTTTTTTCCGGCGTACATACTTAATGACGAGTTTTTAGTAGGGGTAAAAATTGGAACGGAAATTTTGAATTTTCACATAACTCGTTAAATAAAAAATGATTTTGAAACTTTCTTTTTCAATCCGCTCGTTTCTGATTTTTTAAATCTTTTTTATTGGAATTCGAATACATATTAGATTCCACTTTTATTTCCAAAAAAAATGATTATTTTTCGAAAATTACACTTACAATATATATCATTATTAGTATGTATTTTCAATTACATGTTACTTCTTCCTCCTCCAGTCCATGTGATTCTTAATCCGAATTTCGTCTATTCCAATCCGAAAATTTCCGATTTCAATTTTTTTTTTTTTGATATTCCAGTTTCCGAAATTTCAATTTTCATTATTTTTTCATTAATTTGTTTTGGTACGAAGCTGGAATTAGTTTTCCACTTTCAAAAAAAAATGATCAGTCCGATTTTCACCCTTAGTTTTGGTAAAAGAAAATATATTTTTGTTGACAATTTACACGACGAATGTTTTTACAACAGGTCATTATAAACTCCGAGGTGTGCGATCTTCGAAACTTCAAGATTCTCCGAACCGTGCCCTCCTTGCACCAGACGACAATCAAATTCAACAGTGACGGTGACGTAATATACGCAATCTTGAGGAGAGACCGCTCGGATTTCAAGTCGGCAGTAAACCCTCGCCGGATGAAGCACAATCTCTTTTCGGCTTTCCGCACAGTAGACGCTCTAAACTACACCGACATAGCTACTATCCCAATCGAGCGGTGTGTGCTCGATTTCGCCACCGAACCGACCGATTCCTTTGTGGGATTGATCACAATGGATAACGATGGTGATATGAAGGGGTCATTGGCTAGGATATACGATGTCGGTGAGAGAAATAATCCCAGTGATGGTGATTACGGTCTACAGTTTAATCGGAATCGGAACTGGAATCGAAACCAGAACCGGAATAGAAACAGAGATGCGGAATATGATCTGCACACGGTTGAATTGGACGAAGATGAAGAAGAATCGGAAGGGAACGATTACGAGGAAACCGTGAATGAAGACGAAGAATATGAGAGTGGGAGTGATTTGTCTTTGAATATCTACAGAAGTGAAGATGAAGATAATTAATGAGAACATTTCTTAGGGGATATAGCAAGTGTATTTCAATTTTTAGTGGTGGAAAATGTAATAATTTTATAGTGTATAATATTACAGTTTTACTGACAAACTTAAGTTTGTTTCTTAAATCCATTGTTTTCCCCTTTTTGGACAAAATCCAAATATTTTTCACCCTAAAAATTTTGCGTGCCCTGTGTGTGTTTTGTGTGCGCTATGTATGTGCATATATTTCGTGAGCAGACTGCACAGTGTATGTGCATAGTTTGAGTATGAAATGTGTATTTTGTGTATGAATATTGTTTTTTAAACAATTTATTAGATCGGGTCGAAAATTTCAACCAACCCAATATATAATATGGCGGTTCGTGATTTTTATTTTCTATTTTCTATTTTCTTGCACCAAAAGGCGAAATCCTTCGCCCCCGGGCCCCCATCCCTTGGCCCGATAAGGATTGATGGAGGAATGTAAATCATGGTAATTCAACGGCCCGTTAAGGTAGCGGACCCGGACCTGGTGCCCACAAGGAACCAACCGTCATTGGAGTTGAAATTCTCACACTGCGGATGCCAGGATTCGATCCTAGGACCTTGCACCAACTTACCACCTCCGGAACCAGTTGAGTTACACCCATGAGTCGATTGACCAATAATTGTCAATTGACCAATAATTGTCGGTGAATCAATTATATTAATAAATTTTTTTATTATAATTTATAATTTAATAGTACTTTTCGTTAATTTGTGTTTTTAATTATTATGAACTGATGAGTGATTATGAGTCATTGAAACTGTGATATTATGACATAATGTGCATGTTAAGAACCTATATCTATATAATATATAAAAGTTGAATTCCACACCTAATTGATTGACATTTGTCAATTTTAATTGGTAACATGTATTCAGTTTCATCTCATATGTTAAATTGATAGGTGAAAATAAATCATAAAAAACATATCATCATTCCAAAATTAAGATAATTAAATATATTTTATTATTTCATTAAAATATTTATATCCTACCATTTATAAAATTTCTAAATATATCAACTTTCTTGGAAACTATATATAGATTTATTTTTGAATTTAATTTTAATAATAATGAATTTAATTTAAATTTAGTTAAATTCAATTTAAAAGCTTCTGTTATTATTGTTGCATGATTGGTGATGTTACGGAAATTTTGCATTTCAATTAATAAATTTGGATTTATATTAAAAACAATAAGCAGATTAAATCATTTGATATTAACATGTTATAAATTTTACATGAACATAACCAGAGAATATATTTTTTTGTACTAATTTAATATTATATATTAACATTATATGTATGAAAGAAAGATACATGTTCGAATTTACTATTTTGTGGAAATTGACATTGTTTTTTTTCCTGCCATGTGTGCAGTAATATTATCCAATTATTTACCATATCGAAAATTATACTACATGAATTTCATGTTATTGTTTTAACTTTCTTTTTTCTTCACCGAATCGAGTGACAATAAATTTTAAATTTTAATTGGTAAATCTGGTTTCCCCTCCTCCATTCATCCCGGAAGACGGTTTCAAAGATCGGGCAATAAGCGACATGGAACAAGGGTGTTGTCTAGCAAGAGAATCTATCAGTGAAAATAACGGAATAAAGATTCTTCTTCGGCTTCTCGAAAGTCGGATAGTCTCATCCCAAGCTGATCTTGTGCGTCGCCGTGTTCTCACATGCCGAGTCCTTCTCGGTTTAGCCAAGGACAATTCCATTGCGCGTACATTATCAAAGCTTGAGGTCGTTATCCACTTGAAAGTAGTTATTCATTTTCGCAATTACTTTGCTTACGTACAATTAATTATTAATTCATGCATAGTTTCCGTTTTGAATATTCTATTTCAGTTGGCGAGAAAGTTATTAGAAATCAATCGGGATTTCGGAGGAAAGAGCTCCGGCGTTGATGAGCATAATAAATGGATAACGATGGTGATATGAAGGGATCATTGGCTAGGATATATGATGTCGGTTAGAGAAATAATCCCATTGATGGTGATTACGGTCTACAGTTTAATCGGAATCGGAATTGGAATCGAAACCAGAACCGGAATAGAAACAGAGATGCGGAATATGATCTGCACACGGTTGAATTGGACGAAGATGAAGAAGAATCGGAAGGGAACGATTACGAGGAAACCGTGAATGAAGACGAAGAATATGAGAGTGGGAGTGATTTGTCTTTGAATATCTACAGAAGTGAAGATGAATTGAATTAACGAGAACAATTCTTAGGGGCTATAGCAAGTGTATTTTAATTTTTAGTGGTGGAAAATGTAATAATTTTATAGTGTATACTATTACAGTTTTACTGACAGTAAGAAACAAACTTCAATTTAATAGTTTTGATATGATATGATTCAATTTTTTTTCTTGATAATTTGATATGATTCAATTGTTAAATGCTTAACTCCCTTCAATAGGATTCACCTTTTTCTTTTTTCTTTTTTTTAATTATTATTATTATTGTTAATATCAGAATACGAGTGTTGGGGCAGATTAACATTTCAATAATTCGTGTCTTTAAAAAGTAGCATAAAAAATATAACTTCTACAAGAGTAGAATCGACACTTTTCGGGAAATATTCCCTGGAATAAAATAAAAGGAATCATGAAAAATAACACCATAAGGGGGTCGGTGTAAGATGAAAACAATCGTCGGGGGAATTCTAATAGGTCCGAATAGGTGGGGGTGTTTTTTATACTTGAGCCCAAGTATAAGGGGGTTTTCGTATTTTACCCTAATTTAAATTATGAACCATATAAGGATAGAAACAAAACTAAAACTACGGAGTCTAAAAGGATAAATAATAACAGTACTTTTTTTTTCCGATGCCATTCAGAACTCTGCTTTCGTTTCTTATAAGTCGGAACGTCACGAGAGAGATTTGAGTTTCGTATTAAATTTCCGAAATAAGTTTCGGATTATAAAATCTATTGTCAAACAGAAAACGAAAACGAAAAAAACGATAAATGAAATTATAAAGTGTCAAAGAGATGACATTAATCTGTGGTATTGAAGGCCAAAAACAAAAGGGAAGAAATTATACATGGATAAGGACTATGCCAATACATATTACCTGAAAAACCCCATTTAAAAACTTTATCCACTCCAACAAAAAACCTAATTCCGATTACCTCGTATACATACAAAAAGAACGGTTGTAATATAGCTTCGATATCCATCGACACTGTACTTCGTGTACGTCTACAGAATCTTCTCGAGAAACAAACCAAAACTAGTTGCTCAACCTTTGTCTGCTGTTTCCAAAAAAAAAAATCGTATTTAATCAACAATTACCGATGAAACAAAAAAGTTATATTCGAGGTGTGTATGTATACATCACCTGTTTTTTTACTTCTCTGCATGGTGTACATGCTTCACTTTTCGGCGAGAGCGGCCAGGGTTACCGTTTCGGGTGCGCTTTTGCGTCTTTTTACTGCCGTACAACAAAAATATCAGAGAATAATTAAAAAAACTTAAAACTTTTTGCTACGATAAAACTCGAGGCTAGTAGACTAACCAAAAGATGGCCGAAAATATTTTAATCAGAAAAATGACGGGCAAAGCCAGAAGCGCAGACGCCTGAAAAACAAGTAAGAACAGATCTCACTTAAAAAACTGCAATTGATGCAACAAATTTCTCACCAAAGAGTTAAAAAATTTGTCGTGTGATGAAGAACTTACAGCAAACCAAACAAGCTCTTTCGTTGCTAAAGGGTTTGTAAGCTCGTGACTCTTCAGTTTCTCTTGGACTTTGTGTTGAACCTTTAATCAAAGATAAAAAATTATTTTGAGATCAGGATCAAACAAATAGAACTATTACATCACTTAGTCAAATATCAAACAACCAAAATATATTATGACACATGCACGCACACACACATAGATACATACATACATACATACATACACACCTGATGATGGTATGTTGTAGCTGATTCAAGAAACTTCCCATATGCATGAACTGCGTGCTGTGTGTAGGGTTTCACAGCAGAGTGTAATTTATCGACATGAGGTCTCGATGCAGTGGCCACCTGGTCAATGTACGGTTTGGTGACTTTCCTTAGTTCCTGCATAACATAATAATAATCGGATTAATTTCATTGGATAAGCAAATGGAAAAAGAGAAAAAAAAGGTAAACAAACAAAGGCAAAAGGAATACTAATATGCATCTCACCTGGAAATAAGGATCAACAAATACAACAACTTTAGTGATATGTGGGGCTAAGGCATCTTTAGATGCTCCATAAACCTCGATACTTTTCGTAGTTAGCATTTGCACATGCGGTTCGACATTGCTAGCAATCACTACCCACTGTTCCTTTATGGCCGGGACCCATTTCTTCACATACAAAGATAGGTTCAATGAACAAACAAACAAGATATTTAAGCATTCTTATGCAATTCAAAATCCAGATCAGTAAATCATATTGTATTTAACAATAGAAATTAAGTGTTTTTTCGGGAACGTTATTTTAACTGTTTGTATAAAATATAATATATGATATAATTAACACTAAATTACAATAGATGATGAAAAAGTGCAATATTGGGTACTTATCTTCATAACCAACATCTATACATACCAACTAAAATAAATTGCGATTGGTTAGGTCTTGTAGATGTTATATCTGGTAAAATACATCTGGTAAATTTCCACATTTAAATTACACACAGTTAAATACGTATACATGTAGATATGTGTACCTAAAATATATTTGAATCTATACACGTGTTTAATTAATGTGCTGACTTACAGTTTTCACTGTCTCCACATGAGGTGCAGCCCATTTTCCAGCTTGGGCCTTCTTCTCAATAGCCTGAAACGAGAAAAAACGTGGTCAGTTAATTCACACACACACACACACACACACACATATATATATGTATGAAAGTACAATGGCCATGGGAATATATTGGAAGAACATGTGTTGCTAAAATACCAACCTTTTGAACCAACACCTCCACAGCAGGCTTCCCATGCGCTTCCCATTTTTTCTCCAAAACCGACTGGAAATATAAAGAGACGGCAAGCAGATATAGCAGATGTTCCAAAAGAAAGTAAGCAGTGAAATAAATGAATAATTAGATACCTGATAATGAGTGCAATGGACTGCAAGCCAATGCGGAAACCATGCACCATGAACCTGAATGTATGTTGCAAAGATAAATAAATCTTAACCAGACAAATTAAAACAAAAATTGTGCAATTCATATGCCAATATATACATCTAGAAGCATGTAGGAAACCCAGTGTGAATGGTCCAACCTATTTCAACACAATCATATAGCAACTATTTTCAAACGAAGATTTAAAATATTCTTAATGTAATTAGTTCCAAGCTTTCTGTACAAAAATCACCACAGCGATACATGCACAGTCATACTGAAGGGCAAGTACAAGGTTCTTATCGGAAACAGATACCAACTTAAAATCAATAATATAAGCACATATAAGAAGACAACACAATAAAACATCGCATAACACAAGATTAGTTAACGTACAGGTTTTCGATTATGCACGGCATTAAAGCAAACACAAGGAATTGGACTTTTTGTCTCGATAAAAACGCCCCCTATACTAATGACTTAAACTGGTGATATGATGTTGAATACACAAGGCTAAGAAGGTATAGTAGGTCAATATTGCATAATGGCAGCTAAAAGTTATTCAACAATAAAAGAATCCAGTCATAAGGTTTTCTTATTTTCACTCGAATTGCCAAATGATACTTATAGATGACGAATCAAAGCAAACTACATTTAAAAAACGAAAGACTTTATTTATGGCATGATTATCTTAGTCTGTGATTTATTTTTAGTCCTAAGCTGCATCTTCTAACTTGTGTACGGTAATTAATCTCTATTTTGCTCTTTCTACAAAATATACTGAATTGGTCAATGTCAAGTTAGTAGGCGAATGCAATCATTAACACACAGATATATTAGATGATTATTATATTACCAGATAATAGTACTCCAGTAATAAGTAAAAGTAAATAAATAAAGTAAATATTTAAACCTCCATCAACTCCTTGGCTTTGGTAGTCGCCTCAAACTTTGACTTCATCATTTCTTCCTGTGAAAGATTTCAGGCAATAAGAAACAGTAAAATCATCTCATTGAAGGAACAAAATAATCTTACGACTGGTCAAGCTCTTAATAATATACCTCAGCAATATGAAGAGCTCGTTCAGTTTTACGCAACTTGGTTTTCTGGTCATCAATAATCTTCTGAAGCTATAAAACAAAATGACAACACCACCAAATTAGTCCAATAAATAAAATATAATCCCTGAAATATAGTCTCATATATGATACAAAACACCATGACCATATTGAAAGCTCTGCAATCCTCAATACGGAAAACCAAATACACTAGGAAACCGTTAACTGCGTATTCAACAAAACCAAGAAACGAAACTATTTTTTTTATGTATCAATAAAACCACTTTGTAGACTATATATATTATGCATGGGCGTGAAGAGAAAACATGTCGCACCATGGTTTTCAGGCCATTGAACCCTTCTTTTGCCCACATTAAATGCAAAACATAGACAGACATCATATAGAAAGACAGACGCGCTGAAATTATTTTTTTGCAACGAAACCAAATCTTTATGCAACAAGACAACCATTTTGCAGACTAAAAACTCATAGACACAAATACACAGACAGAAACTATAAATTCACTATTTCATGCATTAACACGCGAATATTTGAAATTGACAAGAGGACCATGCATAAGTTCAGTTCACTATATAATGATGCATTATGATGTGAAGATCGTGGACTGGATATATTACAACCTTAAACTCAAGTAAAGGGAGGAAAAAACATGAAACCTCACATCATATTGCCAAACTTTGCATATGCAAGGAACTTACTTTATCCGCTTTAGAACTCATTTCAGATGCCTTTTTCTCGGCTTCAATCACTCGGGCTTCCAGTTGCTCCTTTTCCTTGATTTTCACATTGAGATCTTCTATGAGTTTCTCCACCTTCTTTTCCAATTCATCAGCTCGGGCGTACGCCTGTTCCAACTTTTCTGTGGCATCTAATTTTCCTTTTTTCTAAGCAACAAAAATGAAGACATCAAAATTCAATCATCTTGCTCAAATACAAGTCATTGTCGTACGGATCAACAAGAACAACAATAAAATATTTAGTTTTAGAGAGTCTAGTCACTCACTTGTAGAGAAGCAATTTCACTTTCCAATGACACGATGCCATCCGATTTCTCTTTTATTATCTTCTCCTTTGATGCAATCACCTCGTCTTTATTCTTTATTTCTCGAGTTTTCTCCTCGATATGGTTCTCTTCATACATAATAAACGTTTTAAGGGAAAATGAGAAACTGCTACCACATTAAAAAGATAAAAAAATATATATATATTCATGGTTATATCACTTAAATATACAACAACAAAAATGAAGAGTAGAAGCTCCAAACACACACACACACACACACACACACACACACACACTCACAGTGACATAAAGAAAAACGAAAAAAAGAGCAGAAACCTCCAAATAGAAAAGGTAGCACACATACATAAATTTAATACGAACCAGTTACACAAGCAAAAAAGCAAAACCAAATCAGTTATCAAACTCCTTTGACAGTCGGAAAGTAATTTCAATTCGTCGTGTAACTACTTACACTAAAAGATAAGTAGATCATTTCTCCACAAATTCCTTCGATAACTCAAATAAAACTTCAACATCTTCCGAATAATTCGATCATGAGCAGACATAGAAATCATAAGAAACATGACAAAATTTCAACTATGCATACAAACCCACGCGTCAAACACAGATCATATACTTTTTCGTGCTAAAAGAATCATATCACTTACCAGTCAAAAGGAAAAACAACCTAGGGTATTAAAGTGGGACCCGCAACGATGGATTCCAACTGCAAATATAGAGCCTTTATCTTCTCCAATAATATTTGCTATAATTTTTTTTTACCAGCTACTAAATTAAATATATCCATCTCTATTAACATCTATTCATCAATCAACAAACCTAATTCAGTTTTCAAAATAGAACAATCTGATAATCACAGTCAAATCTAAACCAACCGACAAAATCGAAGCAGAAACACAATTGAGCAACGAAAACTGCAGAATTTAGAAACCCACTCACCGAGAGTGTGGATCTTGGACTTGAGCTGCTCTAAAACGGCGGAATCAGGGCCGTCGGATCTAGGTTTTCCATCGGCGTCCGATAATGAGGCGTCGGCGTTAACTCCGATGCCGGCGAGGAATAGGGAAAGAAACACGGTGACGATGAACAGTTTCAACGCCGCCATACTGCCAATAGCGGAGGCTCCGGCAAACGGCGATCCAATTTTGAAGCAAATTTAGTTTTTTTTTTTTCACTTCACAGAAGTCTGAAATTGTACCCTTTAGATTTATTGATTGAATTTTCTTTTGTTTATTATTTTTTTGATTTTGATTTATTGCTATGAGCACTCTCTTCGGGTACGGAAAAGACATTAGTACCCCGCATTTATCTTGGTAATTTCTACTTCTTACTATAATTCACTATGATCTAATTATGAAAACATATATACATGCCATTTTCAAATCCTATTATTCACAAGTACTTGCTAATTGATGGAAAGTCATAACCAAATGGAATTAATAAACTAGGAAATTTTTATTTATATATTTTAAATAAGGGCTCTTTGAGGAAACCCCCTTATTATTTTTTCTAATGTAGATAGGTCCAAAATATTTCAGTCCATTTGAGAAAAGCTGACATCTATTTTAAGCTATTATGCTTTCCAGTTTTGTCCTCGCCCGCCACATCATCACTGGGTCCACGCTCAGCAATTATTTATTTATTTTTATTTTTTTCCATTTTTCCGTTTTTTTCCCCTTCTTTTTTGTACCAGTTTTCTTAATCGACTATGGAGCATAGTCAAATTCTTTATTTTTATTTTTATTTGTTTTTTAATTTTTTTTCTATATTATATTAATCAACTATGATGAATCATAGTCGATCAAAAGTCTGCTACTAAAAATAACAAATCAAAACTGCAAAAAAATGCAAAATCAACTATATTTTACAAAAAAAACAAAAATATAAGAACATTATAATTGATTTATACAATTGGAATCAATAAACAAAAAAAAAAAAAAGATTGGAGGCGATCAACCTTAATCGATATCAGAGCATAGTCGATTAAGAATCTGCTACTAAAAATAACAAATCACAACTGCGAAAAAATGCAAAATCACCTATATATTACAAAAACAAAAAATATACAAACATTATAATTGATTTATACAATTGGAATCAATAAACGATAAATCCAAAAAAACTAAACAAAAATGGAGTCGATCAACCTTAATCGACTACTAGAACATCGATTAGCTTAATCAACTATGAATATGTACATAGTCGATTAAGGTTTCAGCATGCGCGAAATTCTCTACACGCGCCGTTATCCGCCCAATCCAACAAAAAACCCTAAATCTGCCTCCCGATCGTCACCACACCGCTGCCACAATACACTATTCAACCAATCCCTAATAAGAATAAAATAAATAAATTAAATAATTCATACAAAAAAACACAAATTAACATTTCAATGTCCAAAAAAAAAAAAACAGAAACGATTCAGCCATCATCTTCAACGTCGTCGGTGGAAACCACCGCCGTGAACTACATATCCATCACCACCCTTCACGTGGCGGCGGGAGGCGGTGACAAACACTCTCCACCGCCACCACCACCATCGGTCGATGTCTTGCTTTTCTTCCGAATTTCAGTCGAGAAGAGAAAAGAGAAGAGAGAAGACGAGAAGAGAGAAGATGAGAAAAGAATAAGAGTAAACGGCAGAAGAGAGAAGACGAGAAGACGAGAAAAGAAAGGAAAAAAAAAAAGAGAACAACAATGGGTTAGGGTATTGAAGAGATTTAATATTAATAAGGGTGATTTGTGAATTATTAAAAAAAAAAAAAAAAGGGTGATTTGTGAATTATTAAATAATATTTAGATAGGATATTAGGTAAGGGGGTTTTCTCTAATTATTTTTTGGATGGAGTGTTTTCTTAACTCATTTTCCTAGATGAGGGGGTTCTTGCTAATTATCCTTTTAAATAAGTTGAAATTTATAATAGTTATAAACAATAATAAGTATAGAGACAAAGTAAAATGTATATAAATCACAAATTTCAAGTGTTGCAAGTGTGTTATGACTTATGAGCAAAGAAAAAACCGAAGAACTAATAGCAATAAGGTAAATTGAACAATAATTTTAGTACAACAAATTAAAATCCAACCTAATTAATTAGACCAATTTGACCGAAATAAGCACAACTATTATACTTTATTTATTAGTAAATTAATTTAATTATTTAAGATTACATCATACGTAATATATATAGCATAATATTAAAATACCTCAATTTTCCCACTTTGATTACAATGATAATATTGACCACACTTAATGAAAATTATAATTACATCTGATAATCCTAATTTTCAAAATAAAGTGAAAGAAAATTAAATTTCCATAACCAATTTAGTTTTGTTCCCTCATTTTATTTCACTTTTAACTATCAGGGGTGAAAGGTGTGGCATTTTAGTCATTCCGCATAGATTGGGATGTCGGTAGAGTTTTTCTGGAGTGGAGATAGTAATTTCTATAGCGCGTACTAAATAAATGCTAATGCTGGCAAGGGTAGATGAGGGTTCTCTTTGGGCTGCACGTGTCCTTTTGCGATCGATTATCCCACAGTCCTCTTTGAGTTGTTGTTGTACTATAATTACTGCACAATGTACAACCTTATGTGATACCACTTTCTGAACTTGACGTCTTTTTTCGGAAAAATACATTTTTAACCCCTCAAGTTTGCATTAATTTCACATTTCGCCCTATAATGTTCACAAAAAATATATTTGGCCCCCTATATTTCAAAATTTCAAATTTTGTGTCCTTGCTCTCAATTTGCGGTTAGTACTAACCGAATCAAGCGTGTGTCCATGACTGGCTTGAGTCGGAAACGACCAAAATTGTTAAATTATTGAAACATGAGGGATCAAATATATTCTTTCTGAATATGAGGGACCAAATGTGAAATCGGGCAAACTTGATGGATGAAAGTTGTAATTTTTCCTTTTTTTTTTCCATGTAAAATTAATAAATATGTTTAAATTTTAGTGAAACACATATAATGTACTAAAATTCGTATTCTTACTAATTTTATATCCCCTTAAATTTCTATTAACCAATTAAGAATAAATAAAAAATGAAATTAATTTATTATTTTAATTCTAAATTTAAATAATAGATTTTTTATTAAACAACAATTAATTTTAACAAAAAAATAAGCCCACATTAAAAAAAAGGTAAATTACGAAACCCCCAAACTTAGGCTAATTAACGAAAAACACCCCCATCTATCCGTAATAACAATCCCTCTCTAATTAACTGTTAATCGAGTTTTTTTAACAGAAAACGTGTACAATCTATTATACCTTATGTCAAATATATGAGAAATAAAAGTAAATATCTGAAATTGTGTAAAGTTTATTCCCTTAAAGAAAAAAAATCCGTGAAAAGTCATACTGTACGGGTGGGTGTAAGACGGAAACAAGCTTAGGAGAGGTTTGTTGGTAATTACGAATAAGTCGGGGTATTTTTCGTTATTTAGCCTACGTTTAGGAGGTTTTCGTAATTTACCCTAAAAAAAAAGAAAAGGAGAAAGAATCGGTCTAATAGGAAACAATAGTCTAAACCCACAGAGAAGAAGAGAAAACCTCGGCCGCCAACCATATCTTCCTTCGTCTTCCATTTAAATTCGATTTTAGTAAAATTAACAAACCCTACAAACCCTAAAATGTCATCGGAAGAACCGTCGCAGAATCCCACCGCCGAAGAGAATTCCGAGAAGAAAATCTCCAAAAAGGAAGCCGCTAAGATAGAGCGCCAGCGCAAACGCCAAGAGGCCGCCGCCTTATCTGCCGCCGCCGCAGTGTCGGCCGTCGCCCTCGATGGCGAGGACCCGCTGGCGGCGAATTACGGCGAAATCCCGCTGAACGATCTGCAGTCGAAGGAAATCTCCGGGAAGAAGTGGACGGATGTGAAAGACTTGAACGATGGGTTGAAGGACCAGGCCGTGCTGGTACGCGGCCGCGCGCAGGCGATCCGTGCCGTGGGGAAGAAGATGGCGTTCGTCGTTGTGAGGAAGCGAGGGTTTACCGTGCAGTGCGTATTGACCGTGGCGCAGGATGTGGTCAGCTCTCAGATGGTGAAGTTCGCCACTAGTTTGAGCAGAGAGAGCATCGTTGATATCGAAGGAATTGTTTCTGTTCCGGCTCAACCCATCACCGGCGCCAGTCAGCAGGTGTGTGTGTGTGTTGGTTTTTGAATTATTTTAGGAAAGTTCTGTAGATACTTCGATTTCAACTTGGAACATTTTTGACTGTATATCTGACAATTTTGAGGTTGTATATAATTTCATATGTTGTTTAATCCACTAATTAACATTCGATTATGATAATTGGAAGTGGTTCTGGTTCCTTAATGTATATGTTTTGCTCAGTTTGTGCCCTCTATTTTTATTATTAGATGATAATAATTGTGTTTGCAGTTGATGCTTAATATGTATCTTTGTTTCATGATTAAGGAATAAAAGAGTGTATATGTAAGTATGTTATGTAATTATAGTGTGGACTCTAGTTTTTGCTATTCAGTATCATGTGTTTTTATATATGCTTCTTTTATAGGTAGTTGTATACAGGATTTGGTGTGCTTGCTTTGATTAGTTTAGAATCAGTTTTCTGGCTCATAATTCTTTTGTTAATATATTTTAATCCACTAATGAACACTCAATTATGATAATTGGAAGTGGTTCTGGTTCGTTAATGTATGTGAAAGTGTATATGATGCCTAATATACACTGTGGTTGCAGTTGGTGCCTAATATGTATCTTGTTTAAGGGATTTCTGTGTTTCACTCGTTGATATAATGTTAGGATATTGTGTACTCGTAGTTTCTGGTACTTAGGTAACCTTTGTTTGCATCTGTGATTCTTTTATCCATATTTGTATATTTGGTTTGACACTTGCTTGAATAGTTTATAATCAATTCAATGGCTCTTAATTTTTACCACTTAGGCAGACGTGAATGGTAGTTATTTTATTCTTCGAGTCTTTATCTCATGAATTTTTGGTTAAATATATTGACTCTTGTAGGTGGAGATTCAAGTGAGGAAACTTTATTGTGTGAACATGGCTATTCCCACACTGCCCATTAACATTGACGATGCAGCTAGAAGTGAGATCGAGATAGAAAAGGCTTTGAAGGTATCTAATCTTGCTTTAATTAATTTACTAAAAAATAAAGTCCTTTTTTTATCCTTTTTAGTAGAAAACAATGTACTGATGAGCCCTTTAACGAATGCAGGCAGGTGAGCAGCTTGTTCGAGTGAATCAGGATACTCGCTTGAACTACAGAGTTCTTGATATCCGCACCCCTGCTAATCAAGGAATTTTCCGCATTCAGTGTCAAATTGAGAATGTGAGTACACACTTTCTTGTAGGCGATTTTCCCATTATCTCAGCATCGGTTCTTTATCACAAGGCCTCTAAACAGTGACTTTTTTCATTAATTTCCGTTTCTTTTAACCTTATCTAGTCTTTAGAAGTGTTGTCACTGTCTTTTTATTTGCTCACTTGCCTTTCCAAGTTTTGAAAAACATTTTTTCGACGAGTGATTCCTAATTTGGTTTTGTTCGATTGTAAGAAGATAATTATTTTTTTGCAGCCCCACTCCTTCTCTTGTTTCCCTTTTTTTGCTAGAAATATTGAAGTGTCATGTAGATGTTAAATTTATTGTTAAGATCATTGAGAAATATTCAGCACTGATTCTTAATGTTATTACACGTTTGAGCAGATCTTTAGGCAGTTTTTGCTGTCTGAAGGGTTTGTCGGGATCCACACCCCAAAACTGATAGCAGGTTCGAGTGAAGGTGGTTCAGCTGTTTTCAGATTGGACTACAAAGGAACACCTGCATGTCTTGCACAGTCACCTCAGCTTCACAAACAAATGTCCATTTGTGGTGATTTTGGCCGCGTGTTTGAGATTGGTCCAGTTTTCAGAGCAGAGGACTCTTTCACACATAGACACTTGTGCGAATTTACAGGTCTTGATGTTGAAATGGAGATTAACGAGCATTATTCAGAGGTAATATATTATTGTCTTTTTAGAAGCTTTGGATTACTGTCAAATGTTGTTTTGTAAATCATTAACTTAGTTTATTCATTCGATCAGGTTATGGACATTGTTGACCGTTTATTTGTCACGATGTTTGACGGTTTGAATGAGACATGTTCCAAGGAGCTCGAAGCAATCAACAAGCAGTACCCCTTTGAGCCGCTTAAGGTTGATTCTCTATCAAAACTTAAATCTTGTTTTATTAATGAAATGTAATATGTTGTAATAATGATATGAAATGAATGTAAGGATTCGTTACTATGTACTGACATTGTTGTCTTTGATTATGCAGTACTTGCGCCAAACTTTGCGTCTTACATTCGAAGAGGGCGTACAAATGCTCAAGGTAAGACGGAACACGAGTGTTTAGCGAATTCAACTTTGACATGTTTAGAAGTTTTGCAAAATAAAATAGGTGTATAATAAACTTAATGAATCGGGAATTGGCATAAGTAAATGTTAATTCATATTTGATAATGATATCATTTTGTTTAATGAATCTTACTTCTGCAGGAATCTGGTGTTGACGTTGACCCACTCGGAGATCTCAACACAGAATCCGAGAGAAAGCTTGGGCAGCTCGTACTGGAAAAGTATGCTGGTTTTATCCTATTATTTCTTTCAATCTAATTATTTTAGATATATGACTTCAATCACCATTTAATTATTCTTGCAATTTTAGGTATGGAACCGAATTCTACATCCTTCACCGCTACCCTCTCGGAGTTCGACCATTCTATACCATGCCATGTCATGATGACATGAAGTATAGCAACTCGTTTGATGTTTTTATACGAGGTATTGCATAATTGCAACTATTATTATACTTGAAGTCAAAAGCATGGTTGTCTCGTTAATTACTAAAGTGGCATGAAACAAATGATGCAAATTAGCTTGGGCTTGTTTGATTTTTTCTATTTTCCAAATGCATAATAATACATTTCACCAAATAGATGGTTATATAAATGTTTGTTATTTTCATTTGTAATACAAGAAGAATTACTATAGCGGTGGTAATATATCAACCCTCTCGGGTTTGATCTATTGTCAAATTGCTTGCTGCTATGCATTTCAAGATTCACATTAAATAAAGGTTTTCTTTTTATTGTATCCAATTCATTATATAAATTTTTTTTCTTGGTTTATTTTTTTAGGCGAGGAAATCATATCAGGAGCTCAACGTGTGCATGTGCCTGAGTTCTTGACAGAGCGTGCTCAAGCATGCGGAATTGATGTTAACACAATCTCGACATATATCGATTCTTTCAGGTGCGTTTGTTCATCAACTCGTCTTTTTTCTCATTTATAGTTTGTCTGGGATATTCTGGTTTTCGTCAACAAATACTAGATTTGTGCGTCTGATTCGCTTTGGTTTTTTTGAAGGTACGGGGCACCGCCACATGGCGGATTTGGTGTGGGATTGGAGCGAGTGGTGATGCTATTCTGTGCACTCAACAATATCCGCAAAACATCGCTCTTCCCTCGCGACCCTCAGAGAATAACTCCGTGATTATTTTTGTGCAGACTTTAATATTTTTTTAATATGATGAGAATATCAAACTGCCATTGTTTATGCTACTGAATTTACCTAGAAACGAGCACACTTTTATGCTTTATTACTTGGTTTTCTTGATGTTCGTGTTTCTTATTCATGTGAAGACAAGTTTGTGATTTGGCTAGGTTAGAAAATGGTATTCATGAAAATAATCCAATGGCGCAGAAATAAAAGGGTAATTTTGCCAATAGGATTTGTATGTTATTTGCCATTAATTTACCATAAATCTTATATATAAAAGAAGAAACGCAAGGCAACTCTAAGAAAATCTAATGGTATTTTTGTAATTATTTATTTTTAATGTTTTCTAACTATATTTTTCTAACTATGTTTTTCGATAATTATCAAAATTGAAAGTGAACCGTGAAGAATCCTTACAACTCGGATCTCCTATTTTTTATTAATATATCTCAAATCTTAAGAGATAACGATATAAATTCGATTTGTTTCGATTTGTTAAATTTTAAACAATTTGTTTAGATTATAAATCTTACTACATAAGATTTAAAAAACTAATGTTATATAAAATATGAACATCATTACATTCTTAAATTTTACTATGTTAGTATATTATATTTTTTTATTATATTAAATTGATCAAATTTTTTTTCTTTTGCTCTTTTAAAATACGATCCCGTGCATAGCACGGAAAAAAAAAGCTAGTAAATATAATAGTAAAACCGTGTAATAATAATAATAGGGTAAATTCCAATTTTTCCTGCCTCGTACTTTGGTTCGATATCACTTTACCACCTTTTACTGCCGATTGCATCGATTTGTCCCCATGTACTTGAAAAATTACATCAATTTGACCCTCGTCGTTAGTTTATCAGACCTTGAAAAAATTACATCAATGTAACCCTCGCCGTTAGTTTTCAGACCTTTGACCTTAAAACCGTTTGATCTAATTCTGAAAATTACAAAAAACCATCATTCCAAGTTTAAATAATTATTAAAAAAATAAAAATTATGGCTTGCGTCGTGAACTATGTTTTCTCGTTGTCTTGAGTTTTTCATTATTTTATTTTTAAGTTTTTTTATTAATAATTATTTAAACTGGGAAATATGACGTTTTTGTAGTTTCGGAAGTTAGATCAAACGGTGTTAATGTGAAATGACTCACATCTAACAATGAGAGGGCCACATTGCTACAATTTTTCAAGTACAAAGAGGCAAATCGATGCAATTAAGAGTAAAAGAGGGTAAAGTGATACCGAATAAAAGTACAATGGGGTAAAGTGTAATTTACCGATAATAATATAGACCTAATAGAACCGGCTTGTCGAATGGCCCACAACCAATAAAAATGTAATTTATAATTGCCATTCCATAAAGCTTCCTTTCTGCAACCCTAATTTACACTCTCAGCCAAAACCCTAGCCCTCCATTTTTCTCCCAAATGGCTGCCGCTGCTCGCCCTCTCGCCACCGTTCAATCCCTGGAGAACGATACGGCCACCGACGGTGGTGCCGCCGCCAACTACCTGCTCCATCCAGATGTGATGAGGGCGATCCGCCCTGACGTCGTCGTCTACGTGCTCGACCAATTCTCAAACAACTCCCGCCGCCGGTCTTACGCCTTATCGAAGAAGGCCGGCCACCAGACCTCCGCCGAGTCCTGGGGTACCGGTCGGGCCGTTTGTCGTGTTCCCAGCGGCGGGCTGGGAGCCTTGGGAAACACGTGTCCCGGTGGTAGGAAGTTCGCACCTACCAAAATCTGGCGCCGCTGGCAGAGGGCCGTTAACGACACCGAGAAGTGCCACGCGATCCTATCCGCGATCACCGCCTCCGCCGTGCCTTCTACGGTGATGGCGCGTGTGCATGAGATCGATGAAGTTCCAGAACTGCCCCTTGTCGTCTCCGATACAGCTGAGGCCGTTTGAAAAAAAAAAAAACCAACGCCGCCCTAAAAGTAGTGAAGCAAATCGGAGGATTCCCAGATGCCGAGAAAGCTTGGAAGAAATTAATTGAGTGTCTTAATTGTTAATTATAGATTTTTATTATTATTTTAGATTTTGTTTATAAACGTTTGAGAAAGAATGAAAGTCATTAAGATAATTTAAGCTACAATTATTCTTTGTTCTTGACTCACAGAGCATATTTTAAACAGGAAATTGACTTAGACATCTATTATTTTGGACTTGGTACTTGGTGTTATTTGGGATTTATAGGTGAAGATCAAGTGATCGGATGATTATAGGTGTAGGTAACTTCAAAATTAATATGAAACAAATTAAATTATTAGTACTTAAATATAAATACCTTCAATCCATATTTGGGTAAATTCCACTTTTTCCCTGTACTTTAAAACAAATATGGGGAGTTTTACAATTTAATCCATTTCAATGTGACATGGGGTAATAAAGATATTTCCGATGAAGACATATAGTTATTATTACGTTCCTAATTATTCAAACAAAGTATTTCTAGACACTTTCTAAACAAAGTATTTCTAAACAAAGTTATTATTACTTTCCTAATTATTCAAATTAGAAAGTATTTTCTGGGCTTAGTTCCACTTTTGCACCCTCAAAATATAATATTTTAGAACTTTGCATCATCGAAAATAACTTATGGCACTTTGCACTCTTGAAAATAAATTATGGCACTTTGCACCCTCAAAATATGTTTAATTGTTCAAAGTGCACGCTATTTTATCTTATGAACATAATTTTCTGTCCTTTACTTATTTTATGTTCGTCAAAATGGAAATTTTTGTCTATTCAATTGATTTTTTCTTCAGGGTGTAAATCGCTAACGTATTTTCGAGCAAAAATGACTCTGTTAACTATGTCAACGATGGAAATTTTGACCGAAAAATAAACTAAGGTGCAATTTGAACGATTAAACATGTTTTAAGGGTGCAAAATGCCATAAATTATTTTCAAGGGTGCAAAGTGACAAATGGTTTAATTATCAAAAAAAAAAAAAGTGACAAATGGTAAATTTTGAGGCCGCAAAGTGCAATTAAACCTACTTTCTATAAGTATAAATCAGTAATAAATGGTTCAAATATATATTTAAATAACTAATTCACTAATGTGATGTTTGCATAAAATTTTGAAAACAAATTATTAATTTTTATTTGGCTCATGATCAATTTTGGAGTGTTAGCATATACACTTTTTTTTTCAGTTAATTTGCTTTTTTCTTTTTTTTTTTTTTTAAGAACTTTGTTTAAGAATCTTAAATAACTAAATTGACTAAATGGTCCGAAATGTTAGGGACAATTTGCTAAACACCATTCAAGATTTCCTTTTAAATCAGGACAATTTTTTACTTTTTTTTAGTTTTATAAAAGTCGTTCAAACACTTCCACTCTAAAAAAAATGGGGTTTTTTTCGTTCCTCCGCTTCTTCCCGCGAGTCCCTTGCCACTGACCACCTAATTTCCACTAAGCATGTCATTGGAAAATGTTATTTTCACCGGTCTTGGTCCTCATTTTAAGTCCAAATTATCTAACTAAATTGTCTATTTTCAGTCTAAATTGTCGAACAAAACTGCCTAAGGAACTTTTAGCAAATTCAAAACATCTTGGCGCAATTTTTAGCTGTACAAAATAGTTTTAAGAGAATTTTAAACAATTTTTCTCGAAATTTAATTTGGTTCCTCAGTACGACCAGTTCATTTTTTCGGCGTCAACTTCTTCCAAATTAAAGGAATAATAGAGAAGTAAATAACAATTAAATTTTAAACGGGCTGTTATTAATTTATTTTCAGTTTGGTATTGAGAAATTCATTTTTGCCAATAATTTGACAGACATGTTCTTCATTAACTTCAAATAATTCATACAAATCTTTTTTTTTTTTTTATTGTTTGTTACTTGTACATCAAAGTTACATCCCTAGGACTTATACTTAAGTCTTTCTTTATTTATATAATTTAGTTGAATACATCTAAATATATGATAAATAAAATATTTTGACCTTGTTTCATAATACACCACTAGTAGAATGTATGCCTCAATGTAAACATTTCGTTTGTAATTGCCAAACTGTAAGATGCCATTAAATAATTTATGAAATATGCGTGGTCGATCACTCACAATCTTTCTCTTGTACCATTTCATTACACAATTTTTATTTTTAATTATTATTACACAATTAATTAGAACAACTATAATGGAGCATCAAAATATGTATAACTGGGTTTGACAGTATTTGTCCGGGTTTTTTGCAATAACCTACCTTCTGTAATCTCTAATTGCCGTAAAACACCCCGTATTAAAATAATTGGCAAGAACACCCTATGAAATGTAGTCAAAGTTGAAAAAGCCCCTAACAGCTTACCGTGAGTTGCACACGCGAATTTGGCGTGTGAGATTGTATTTTTTACCTTTAAAGACCCAATTACCCTTCATCACAAATTTACAAATTAAAGATATCACCCTTTATTTTTTAGAAGCACCAAAATGAACTTTTCAATTTTTTTATTTCAGTCCTTTACCCTTAAAAAAAGCCCTCCCCTACACCACACCAGTCGTCGAGCTCTGCCACCACCTCCACTTCGCTGCCCGCCTCGCCACGCCACCTCCCCTGCCGTCTACGACTTCCCTCTCTACCGTCGACCTCAATAAAACCCTCGACTCGCCAAAATCTCGCCAAAAGGAAAGGTAAGAGCCCCCTTCCTCTGTTCCCTCTCTTCCAAGGAATTCCGACCACTTCAACCGGCAAAAATTGCCACAGTTCCACCAAATTAACGACCACTATGGCAGCGCAATGTTCGGAAATAATTTCGTTGGACACCGCTGGTGAATTGCGCCGGTCTGAGATACGAGTGTGCAATGTTCGGTAGTGGGCGGCTGATTTGGATTGTGAGAGGTAGACAGCTGACATCGGCAGGAGTATGGGGCGGTGGCGGGATGAGATAATTGCCGCGGGTGGTGGTGGTGGAAGTTTGAAGGAAGAGGGGCAGGTGTGGCGACGGCTAGAAGAAAGGGTGGGGGAAGTCGACGGGGAAGAGAGAATTATTTCTCCTTTTTTTTTCACGATTTTTTTAATTGGGTTTAGGGTAGTGTGCTTTATTTTGAATTATGGATAATTTTGTCTTTTCATTCAATTTAACAATTAAATCTAATA